TTCCCTCATTAAAATGCAAATCAATTTATAACATTTTTGACATGCGTTTTTCTGGATTTTTTTGTTGTTATTCTGTCTCTCACTGTTCAAATAAACCTACCATTAAAATTATAGACTGATCATTTCTTTGTCAGTGGCCAAACGTACAAAGTCAGCAGGGGATCAAATACTTTTTTCCCTCACTGTATTGTGTGGATCATCATTATTTGGTCCGTAAAGGTTAATGTGCCATATTTGTTTATGGTCCAATAACATATTTTAAATAATCCATCTACCTTGCGTATCTGTTTGGACAATTTGCACATTCGGATCGAAATTACTGTTAATTAATATCATCACCCCTTTTGAGTATCTTAGCCCATTGGAGAAGTATATTTCGCCTCCCCATTCCTTTTTCCACGCAACTTCATCTAGAATTGTTGAATGGGTTTCCTGTAAACAATAGATATTATATTCCTTCTCTTTGAGCCATGTAAATATTGTTCTTATTTTGTTATTATCTGCTATGCCATTACAATTATAACTGGCTATACTTATTTCACCACATACCATAATGAGATACAAGTTTCAAATCTATTTGTCATTATATATGTTTGTAAATTTACCAATAGAAAATACTATAGTGATTGAGTGTCCATATAGCTATACCATGATATTTGCAATGTTACTAAATAACCCTCCAATTGTTTTCCACTAATTTCCCCGCTAAAACCCCTCCCCATCCCATGTTGGGCCGTCAGTGATCAGCATACCACGCTGTCCCCCCGGATCCCTATGCCCCCGAGGGGCCAGGACCCATCCATCGAAAACATCACATAGTGCCACCCACAAAACAGAAGCAGGTCAACCGCCAAAAGCATTTCCAATGCTCTCACCTCAATATATTTATATAGCTATTTAAAAAATATCTATTCAAATATCTTGCATATCTTATTTTCCATCATTATCAATTAATGTGCGTAAAAATGTTGGCAGTTCATGCGTAGGATTTTAACCTATAACCCGAATTGCCATTGTATTACATTACATATTTAACAAGCAACTACCACTTCAGCAAACAACCACTGCGATTCAACCCACCCATAAAACAGATGGGAACTTCTCTTTGGTGTATGGGTCGCTCAGGTGGATCATGTCTTTGTCAGTGGGCAAACGTACAAAACGTACAGACCACTTCAGTTCCTATGCTTCCTGGCTGATGTTTTGGTCACTTTTGAATGCTGACGGTGCTTTCACTCTAGTGGTAGCATGAGACGGAGTCTACAACCCACACAAGTGGCTCAGGTAGTGCAGCTCATCCAGGATGGCACATCAATGCGAGCTGTGGCAAGAAGGTTTGCTGTGTCTGTCAGCGTAGTGTCCAGAGCATGGAGGCGCTACCAGGAGACAGGCCAGTACATCAGGAGACGTGGAGGAGGCCGTAGGAGGGCAACAACCCAGCAGCAGGACTGCTACCTCCGCCTTTGTGCAAGGAGGAGCAGGAGGAGCACTGCCAGAGCCCTGCAAAATGACCTCCAGCAGGCCACAAATGTGCATGTGTCTGCTCAAACGGTCAGAAACAGACTCCATGAGGGTGGTATGAGGGCCCGACGTCCACAGGTGGGGGTTGTGCTTACAGCCCAACACCGTGCAGGACGTTTGGCATTTGCCAGAGAACACCAAGATTGGCAAATTCGCCACTGGCGCCCTGTGCTCTTCATAGATGAAAGCAGGTTCACACTGAGCACATGTGACAGACGTGACAGAGTCTGGAGACGCCGTGGAGAACGTTCTGCTGCCTGCAACATCCTCCAGCATGACCGGTTTGGCGGTGGGTCAGTCATGGTGTGGGTTGGCATTTCTTTGGGGGGGCCGCACAGCCCTCCATGTGCTCGCCAGAGGTAGCCTGACTGCCATTAGGTACCGAGATGAGATCCTCAGACCCCTTGTGAGACCGTATGCTGGTGCGGTTGGCCCTGGGTTCCTCCTAATGCAAGACAATGCTAGACCTCATGTGGCTGGAGTGTGTCAGCAGTTCCTGCAAGAGGAAGGCATTGATGCTATGGACTGGCCCGCCCGTTCCCCAGACCTGAATCCAATTGAGCACATCTGGGACATCATGTCTCGCTCCATCCACCAACGCCACGTTGCACCACAGACTGTCCAGGAGTTGGCGGATGCTTTAGTCCAGGTCTGGGAGGAGATCCCTCAGGAGACCATCCGCCACCTCATCAGGAGCATGCCCAGGCGTTGTAGGGAGGTCATACAGGCACGTGGAGGCCACACACACTACTGAGCCTCATTTTGACTTGTTTTAAGGACATTACATCAAAGTTGGATCAGCCTGTAGTGTGGTTTTCCACTTTAATTTTGAGGGTGACTCCAAATCCAGACCTCCATGGGTTGATAAATTTGATTTCCATTGATAATTTTTGTGTGATTTTGTTGTCAGCACATTCAACTATGTAAAGAAAAAAGTATTTAATAAGATTATTTCATTCATTCAGATCTAGGATGTGTTATTTTAGTGTTCCCTTTATTTTTTTGAGCAGTGTAATATACAGTTGAAGTCGGAAGTTTACATACACCTTAGCCAAATACATTTAAACTCAGGTTTTCACAATTCCTGACATTTAATCCTAGTAAAAATTCCCTGTCTTAGGTCAGTTAGGATCACCACTTTATTTTAAGAATGTGAAATGTCAGAATAATAGTAGAGAGAATTATTTATTTTAGCTTTTATTTCTTTCATCACATTCCCAGTGGGTCAGAAGTTTACATACACTCAATTAGTATTTGGTAGCATTGCCTTTAAATTCTTTAACTTGGGTCAAACGTTTCGGGTAGCCTTCCACAAGCTTCCCACAATAAGTTGGGTGAATTCTGGCCCATTCCTCCTGACAGAGCTAGTGTAACTGAGTCAGGTTTGTAGGCCTCATTGCTCGCACACGCCTTTTCAGTTCTGCCCACAAATGTTCTATAGGATTGAGGTCAGGGCTTTGTGATGGCCACTCCAATACCTTGACTTTGTTGTCCTTAAGCCATTTTGCCACAACTTTTGAAGTATGCTTGGGGTCATTGTCCATTTGGAAGACCCATTTGCGACCAAGCTTTAACTTCCTGACTGATGTCTTGAGATGGTGCTTCAATATATACACATAATTTTCCTTCCTCATGATGCCATCTATTTTGTGAAGTGCACCAGTCCCTCCTGCAGCAAAGCACCCCCACAGCATGATGCTGCCACCCCGTGCTTCACGGTTGGGATGGTGTTCTTCGGCTTGCAAGCGTCCCCCTTTTTCCTCCAAACATAACGATGGTCATTATGGCCAAACAGTTCTAATTTTGTTTCATCAGACCAGAGGACATTTCTCCAAAAAGTATGATCTTTGTCCCCATGTGCAGTTGCACACCGTAGTCTGGCTTTTTAATGGCGGTTTTGGAGCAGTGGCTTCTTCCTTGCTGAGCGGCCTTTCAGGTTATGTCTATATAGGACTCGTTTTACTGTGGATATAGATACTTTTGAACCTGTTTCCTCCAGCAACTTCACAAGGTCATTTGCTGTTGTTCTGGGATTGATTTGCACTTTTCGCACCAAAGTACGTTAATCTCTAGGAGACAGAACGCGTCTCCTTCCTGAGCGGTATGACGGCTGCGTGGTCCCATGGTGTTTATACTTGCGTACTATTGTTTGTACAGATGAACGTGGTACCTTCAGGCGTTTGGAAATTGCTCCCAAGGATGAACCAGACTTGTGGAGGTCAACAATTTCTTTTCTGAGGTCTTGGCTGATTTCTTTTGATTTTCCCATGATGTCAAGCAAAGAGGCACTGAGTTTGAAGGTAGGCCTTGAAATACATCCACAGGTACATTACATTTACATTTTAGTCATTTAGCAGACGCTCTTATCCAGAGCGACTTACAGTTAGTGAATACATTTTTTTTTTTTTATACTGGCCCCCCGTGGGAATCGAACCCACAACCCTGGCATTGCAAACGCCATGCTCTATCAACTGAGCTACATCCCTGCCGGCCATTCCCTCCCCTACCCTGGACGACGCTGGGCCAATTGTGCGCCGCCCATGAGTCTCCCGGTCGCGGCCGGCTGCGACAGAGCCTGGATACACCTCAAATTGACTCAAATTATGTCAATTAGCCTATCAGAAGCTTCTAAAGCCATGACATCATTTTCTGGAATTTTCCAAGCTGTTTAAAGGCACAGTCAACTTAGTGTATGTAAACTTCTGACCCACTGGAATTGTGATAGTGAATTAGAAGTGAAATAATCTGTCTGTAAACAATTGTTGGAAAAATTACTTGTGTCGTGCACAAAGTAGATGTCCTAACCGACTTGCCAAAACTATAGTTTGTTAACAAGAAATTTGTGGTGTGGTTGAAAAAGAAGTTTTAATGACTCCAACCTAAGTGTATGTAAACTTCTGACTTCAACTGTATCAAATATAATCCATAGGTCCATATATTACATAAATACATTATCCATTTATTCCATAAATGACATGGACATTATCCATAATCCATTCTCCCAAAATCTATTCCAATTATTCATTGTATACAACACTCTCTCCCTCCTATAGGCGTTGAACTTCCAGGGACGTCCTCCTGAGTGGCGCAGTGGTCTAAGGCACTGCATCGCAGTGCTAGCTGTGCCACTAGAGATCCTGGTTCGAATCCAGGCTCTGTCATAGCCGGCCGCGACCGGGAGACCCATGGGGCGGCGCACAATTGGCCCAGCGTCGTCCAGGGTAGGGGAGGGAATGGCCGGCAGGGGTGTAGCTCAGTTGGTAGAGCATGGCATTTGCAACGCCAGGGTTGTGGGTTCGATTCCAGTATAAAAAAAAAAAATGTATGCACTCACTAACTGTAAGTCGCTCTGGATAAGAGTGTCTGCTAAATGACTAAAATGTAAATGTAAATGTAAGTATATTTGAGGTCAGGGAAGGCTGGGGGACGACGGGGCCACGGCCCCTGCTCAGCTGGCCCTGTTTGCCATCGCTACGCCCATGCAGACCCCAGCTGTCATGGAGCTCAGGACCAAGACACTCATCTTCCAGACCAAACACAGACTCGACTTCGCCCCCATGGGCATAGAAACTAGGTACCATTACGACAGGAATCACATCTCATAGCACCACTGGGAACACTGTACCCTCCCAGGGACTTATAAAGAGGGAACTTGAGAGGACAATGTTTGTTCCCTGAGATATATTTTTGCTATGTCAGTGTGTGTGTGTGTGCATTTCTGTCTGCCTAATGTGTGTCTGTCCACTCCCCTCCAGAGGTGAAGTGGTGCTGGGTTACTCTGAGGCTCAGGTTACCAGTTCATCCATGCTGCTGACATGATGTACTGTGCAGACAACCACCTCAAAAGTGAGTTACACTATAGTTAGTCATTACACATACACATACACACACACCTGAGTCTTATCTTATTAAAGCTTAAATCTGGTATTTCGCAAGCGAACGTTCACTATGATGCAGACTCTGACTCCCTTTTCCCTCTCTCTCCTCTCTCTCCTCCCTCTCTCTCTCCTCTCTCTCCTCCTCCCTCTCTCTCTCTCCTCTCTCTCCTCCTCCCTCTCTCTCTCTCTCTATCTCTCTCTCTCTCTCTCTCCCTCTCTCCTCCTCTCTATCTCTCTGTAGTGATAAAGACAGGAGAGACTGGATTCACCATCTTCAGGCTGCTGACAAAGGCAGGTGTGTGGGTGTGGGTTCAAGCCCACACCCACACACCAATCCAGGCTCTGTCGCAGCCGGCCGCGACCGGGAGACTCATGGGCGGCGCACAATTGGCCCAGCGTCGTCCAGGGTAGGGGAGGGAATGGCCGGCAGGGATATAGTTCAGTTGATAGAGCATGGCGTTTGCAACGCCAGGGTTGTGGGTTCGATTCCCACGGGGGGCCAGTATAAAAAAATAAAAAATAAAAATGTATTCACTAACTGTAAGTCGCTCTGGATAAGAGCGTCTGCTAAATGACTAAAATGTAATGTAAATGTAAGCCAACGCCAGGGTCGTCTTCAAGGCAGGGAGACCCGACTTCATCATCGCTCGACAGAAAGCCCTAACGTGAGTCCACTGTTGATATTCATCTTTACTCTCCCCAAACAGTTATAGTTGTATCATTCCATGGTATTTATATACGCTTACATACAGTATGACCTTTGACCTTTGTCACCCATCTACAGAAACAAGGAGGGCGAGGAGCACCTGCGTCAGCGGAGAATGCAGCTTCCCTTCAGCTTTGCCACTGGGGAGTCTCTGCTGTTTGAGTCCTGTCCCTCTCTGGATACTGCCATTATACCTCCAGGACCACCCATCCCCCCAGGCCTCACTCCCCCAGGCTCCAGCCCTGAGGACAAGCCCCTGGACCCTGCCTCTCTCCTGGGGTCCCTACTCAGTCAGGACCGCTCTGTTTGTAATCAGCCCCAGGACGCTAACCCTAACCTGGACCTACAGGTCTTTTCCCCAGACCTAGACATAGCATTCCCCCAGGACCAGCACCCAGGTCTGGAGAGAGCCTTCCTGGACAGCCACGCTCTGCTGAGTGTCCCTGGGGAGCTCCAGGGGCCCCAGAGGCCCAGCAAGGGAGACCCCACAGCCCAGGCCATGAAGGACTCTCTGGGGGAGATCCTGGGGGAGATGGGGGCGGGGGCTTGGAGGGGCTGGAGGTGGAGGAGACAGAGCTGAGGGAGTGGGAGAGCGCCGTCCTCAGGATCAACATGGAACAGCAGGATGTGACGGGAAGCTGGATGAAATCTTAGCCAATGATGTGTTCTCCTATGTGGAGGAGGCTCTGATGAGAGAGAGTGATGGTGGATGTGTGATGGGCAGCTTGGGACAGGCCACTGAGACAATCAACAGGCTTTCTGCTCACATCACTATCAATCAAAACACACTAGGCGATCACTCCCAGAGTTCCATATTGCCAGGCAACCAGGGGTCAAACACTCACACACACACACCCTCAGGCAGCTGTATGTTTGACAAGAGGGCTCCAAATGTCTCCCATCCCTCCAGCCCCCTTACACCTGCCCCAAACGGATCACACGGCCCATACCTGGGCGGCGCACAGGCTGGTCCTCACTACATGTTCGTCGTCAAACCCACTGGCTCCAGGCCATCTATAAATCACTGCTAGGCAAATCCCCGCCTTATCTTAGCTCATTGGTCACCATAGCAGCACCCACCCGTAGTCTGCGCTCCAGCAGGTATATCTCACTGGTCATTCCCAAAGCCAACACCTCCTTTGGCCGCCATTCCTTCCAGTTCTCTGCTGCCAATGACTGGAACGAATTGCAAAAATCTCTGAAGCTGGAGACTCTTATCTCCCTCAATAACTTTAAGCATCAGTTGTCAGAGCACCTTACCGATCACTGCACCTGTACACAGCCCATCTGAAATTAGCCCACCCAACTACCTCATCCCTATATTGTTATTTATTTTGCTCTTTTGCACCCCAGTATCTCTATTTGCACATCATCTCTTGCACATCTAGCATTCCAGTGTTAATACTATTGTAATTATTCTGCACTATAGCCTATTTATTGCCTTACCTCCATAACTTGCTACATTTGCACACACTGTATATATATTTTCTGTTGTATTTCTGACTTTATGTTTTTTTTTTACCCCATATGTAACTCTGTGTTGTTTTTTATTGCACTACTTTGCTTTATCTTGGCCAGGTCGCAGTTGTAAATGAGAACCTGTTCTCAACTGGCTTACCTGGTTAAATAAAGGTGAAATAAAAAAAAAAAAAAAAAAAAATACCTGCCCCCACTCACTCCAATGTACCCCAGACCCTCTCCCACTCTTTCCAATGACTGTAGGACCAGCTCCTCAACCCAGGCCCCCAAAGCCTTTATGACTTACCCTCAAGCATCCATAATCCCAATATCTACCAACTCTTACCCCCAAGTCTCCATTCTTAACCCAACCTACCCCCCAGCCTCCATCCCCACCCGCATCCCCGCCCTATCCAGAGGGGCTCAGACGGAGAAGGACTCGGCAGCTCTCCCTGCCTGGTCTGGGGCTCCGTACCTGGGCATGAAGCAGCTCCCAGGCCCCTTTCCCGGCCCCCAGCAGGTTCTGCAAAGCTCCAGGGGGAATGGCAGCTGTAGTAATCCCAGTGAAGGAAGCTTGATGCTGTGTCAGAGGGTGTTGGAAGAAAGCCTCCTTCTTGGAGGTCCGACGACAGGATTTCTTCCTGAGAACAGATCTGTACAGTCATCTTTATTCTACTGGAATGGACAAACACAGGTGAGACAGTGCTGAAATTCATCTCACTACTGTTTTAGCAAGGTTCTGGGGGCCTCACATCCTCACAAGTTTAGATACTGGAATGTGACCTAAAATGACCCTCCAATGTGATGTGTCTTTAACTCATCTGTCCCTACCGGTCCTAATGGTGATGCAGATCCTTTTCTCTTCACTGGCAACATCTCCTAGATTCTCTAGGACTAAGAGGAACCTACAAGTAACCATCTCCACAATGGAACCACCAACAACTTCTGGCTGACGAAAAGTAAATGTGGACAGTTCTAACATCTTCAATATGTGCCTCTGTATTTGATAAGAAGGAAGCACTCAGTTGCGTCCCCAATGTGTCCGTCTTCACTTGTAGCCTACTTCGGAGCTGAGATGCCTGTGAGAAGGACCCGATCACTGTGATGGCATTGGCTACTAAGAATTGAGATATCTGAGAGAGCCATGTGAGTGAGAGGTGCTTCGGAGCACGCCGATTGCCAATTATAATTATTATATTCAGCCCAAGGGCAAAAGGCATGGATGTTTTTAGGGGGCATTACAGCCACATAAAAGGGGGTGCCACCGGGAAATTTGAGGCCTGGTGAGAATATTATCAAGTGCTTGTCAAATTGTGAATGAGAGACTGATGAAGTGTGTGCAGCCTGCGCAAGAACAAAGCAGAGCTCATGCCTTTCATATGACTTTTTTCAAATCATCATTAGAGTCGCATCATGCAGCCTTAGAATGTATAAAAATCAAAACATATAGCCCAACATTTGTATCACAACTAAAGTTACATAAATAACTCTAAATTAAGCATATAGGACTACCTGTTTCTTTGTTAACTGCTCAACACAGAATAGCCACGTGCGCACTCCCTCTGAAATCGTTTGGAGAAAATATCCTTTCTATTTTATTCAGTTATGTTCAATTGTATTCTTCATACTATAAAATGATATAAAATAATGTCATGGAATTCTAAGCAAATCCTATCTGCTAAATGAGCTAGTGTAGCCCACAGCCATATGGCATAGCCAGATCAGGGCCTAACATAAGGACAACTCAGAGTATGCTATTCTGTTCTTCTGAAATAGACTACATTTTCTTAATGTTTCTTTAGACCTGTCTAAAATAAATAATGGATTTATTGTGAAAGTGTAGGCTATATTAAATGGATTTATTAGACTTTTTAAAATGTAGATGTTTCCAAAGGTCTGCATAAGTGGCTTGTAGGCTATGCGTGGAAGCCATGAGATGCTAAACATGTTTATGTTAATTAAAGGCCAATTACCGTGAGACCGGCAGTTATTTGCTTGATAATCACTGGCTGACAAAATGTCATGACCACCACAGCCCTAGTTCAGACTGTGTGTTAGTGGTACAGTGACTGCAGCTGAGGGACCATTCAGATGGACAGAAGATGTATCTACATACACAACATTTCAAAATCGATACAAAGGACTCCACTCTGCCCACCACATCACAATTTGAATTTATCAACACAACATCTGTTTGAACAGGATCTGTTTTTGTTTTCAAAGTAATTTTCTCTCCCACCCTAGCCTGGCCATTCTGTCAGCTCAACTTGGGTTTCTAGTGCACTTCTCATCATGTTTTCTTTTTGTCTGTTTCCATTCCAAGAAACAAGATGGCTGACAGACAGGAAGCAGGAGGTAATGTTTTTTGGAAGTTGCAAAGGCTTTAAAAAGAAATTCAACCAAAATGCAGATTTCTGAGTATGAGTGAGTGTCCATGTTGATACGATAAGCATCAAAAGAAGTGCATTGTGTTTATACTTCATCATGTTTGTTTTTAACTTGTTTGGTTTCATATTGTGTTGGTCTTCAATGACATCCTCTTGTGTTGATACTATTGTTTCTGCTCAGGCTTTAGCTGCCTAGCCTGTAGCCATAAGGAACACCAGCACTACCAGGAAACAGCCTGCCTGCTGCTTGTGTCTTAGCCATAGCTACTGTTTGTCCCAATATGTTAGAGATCACATATAGCACTTAATTTGTCAGCCGTTGACTTTATTACATGTGTAACCATTTAAAATGACCCAACACATAATGCTTAACATATACATTGACTTATATGAAAAGTATGTATAACATTAAATGTATAACATACTGTATATGAATACCGTAGGTTATGAATGGTTGGACAGGTTTATAGCTATTCGCTAAGTAAACAATTTGTACATTTGGTGCTAGTTTTGAGGTTTTTATAAAAGTAGCGCTAAGCTGTTTTGAAGACACCAGCCCAGATCCACACTCTGTATGTTGATATAAACAGTAATAATATCCAGTGGTCCTAAGAGTTAGAGGACTTTCTGCTGTGTCTGACACATCAACTATCTATCCCTTCCATCCCTGGATACTGGTATATCACAGTATCCTGCATTATTGTAAAAATAAAAACATATTTAATGACTCAAACGCACTAATTGATATTACATTTTTGATATATGTTTGATATGTTATATTGAAGCCCTGGTGAGCAGAGGAGGGGTGGAAAAGAACCTAGTAGCTCTTTTTGTCACATATTGTTTGTATTTTATTGTCCGTTTTGACAAACTAGTGACTATATACTTTTAAATAATATCTGAAAAACGTTAGAATATGTGGCTTTGTGTGTCTCACTTATCCAGCCCTTATAAGAGGGTAATAGGATACTACAGTAACGACGTGTCAATATGACTGAGCTGTAATTTAGCACTGGCTTTGTGCATTGAAAAGATAGACTAGAAAGTGTTCCACGTTGATATCATTTCGCCCTCTGTCCTAGTGTTACCAAACAAATGGGAAATGCAGTAACCATTGTCTTCAGTGCTGAGAATGAGATTGAATCATGTCATGAATCATTTAGCTTGGATGTGATTAATTTAAATTATAGACTAGAAAGTGTTCCATGGTGCATCAAAGCTGGGACCGAGAGAATGAAAAACAGCTTCTATCTCAAGGTCATCAGACTGTTAAATAGCCATCACTAGCACATTAGAGGCTGCTGCTGCCTATTGAAATCACTGGAACACTAGTCACTTTAATAATGTTTACATATCTTGCACTACTCATCTCATACAATGAGGGAAAAAAGTATTTGATCCCCTGCTGATTTTGTACGTTTGCCCACTGACAAAGACATGATCAGTCTATAATTTTAATGGTAGGTTTATTTGAACAGTGAGAGACAGAATAACAACAACAAAATCCAGAAAAACGCATGTTAAAAATGTTATAAATTGATTTGCGTTTTAATTAGGGAATTAAGTATTTGACCCCTCTGCAAAACATGACTTAGTACTTGGTGGCAAAACCCTTGTTGGCAATCACAGAGGTCAGACATTTCTTGTAGTTGGCCACCAGGTTTGCACACATCTCAGGAAGGATTTTGTTCCACTCCTCTTTGCAGATCTTCTCCAAGTCATTAAGGTTTCGAGGCTGACGTTTGGCAACTCGAACCTTCAGCTCCCTCCACAGATTTTCTATGGGATTAAGGTCTGGAGACTGGCTAGGCCACTCCAGGACTTTAATGTGCTTCCTCTTGAGCCACTCCTTTGTTGCCTTGGCCGTGTGTTTTGGGTCATTGTCATGCTGGAATACCCATCCACGACCCATTTTCAATGCCCTGGCTGAGGGAAGGAGGTTCTCACCCAAGATTTGACGGTACATGGCCCTGTCCATCGTCCCTTTGATGCGGTGAAGTTGTCCTGTCCCCTTAGCAGAAAAACACCCCCAAAGCATAATGTTTCCACCTCCATGTTTGACGGTGAGGATGGTGTTCATGGGGTCATAGGCAGCATTCCTCCTCCTCCAAACACGGCGAGTTGAGCTGATGCCAAAGAGCTCGATTTTGGTCTCATCTGACCACAACACTTTCACCCAGTTCTCCTCTGAATCATTCAGATGTTCATTGGAAAACTTCAGATGGCCCTGTATATGTGCTTTCTTGAGCAGGGGGACCTTGCGGGCGCTGCAGGATTTCAGTCCTTCACGGCATAGTGTGTTACCAATTGTTTTCTTGGTGACTATAGTCCCAGCTGCCTTGAGATCATTGACAAGATCCTCACGTGTAGTTCTGGGCTGATTCCTCACCGTTCTCATGATCATTGCAGCTCCACGAGGTGAGATCTTGCATGGAGCCCCATGCCGAGGGAGATTGACAGTTATTTTGTGTTTCTTCCATTTGTGAATAATCGAACCAACTGTTGTCACCTTCTCACCAAGCTGCTTGGCGATGGTCTTGTAGCCCATTCCAGCCTTGTGTAGGTCTACAATCTTGTCCCTGACATCCTTGGAGAGCTCTTTGGTCTTGGCCATGGTGGAGAGTTTGGAATCTGATTGATTGATTGTTTCTGTGGACAGGTGTCTTTTATACAGGTAACAAGCTGAGATTAGGAGCACTCCCTTTAAGAGTGTGCTCCTAATCTCAGCTCGTAGCCTGTATAAAAAGATACCTGGGAGCCAGAAATCTTTCTGATTGAGAGGAGGTCAAATACTTATTTCCCTCATTAAAATGCAAATCAATTTATAACATTTTTTACATGCGTTTTTCTGGATTTTGTTGTTGTTATTCTGTCACTCACTGTTCAAATAAACCTACCAATAAAATTATAGACTGATCATTTCTTTGTCAGTGGGCAAACGTACAAAATCAGCAGGGGATCAAATACTTTTTTCCCTCACTGTATGTATATACTGTATTCTATTCTATAATATTCTACTGTGTCTTAGTCCATGCCGCTCTCTCTTTGCTTGTCCATATACAGTGGGGAGAACAAGTATTTCATACACTGTCGATTTTGCAGGTTTTCCTACTTACAAAGCATGTAGAGGTCT